GACGATGGACTCTGAAAAACAAACTGAGGGTTCTAGAGGGGAGGGGGGGGGGAGGATGGGTTAGCCTGGTGATGGGTATTAAAGAGGGCACATTCTGCATGGAGCACTGGGTGTTATGCACAAACAATGAATCATGGAACACTACATCTAAAACTAATGATGTAATGTAATGTATGGTGATTAACATAACAATAAAAAATAAAAATAAATAGGTTTGAAAGAATAGTGAAGTTGAAGTCAGTAGTCCAAGGATCAAGTGTCAGCTTTATTATCACATAGCTATAGGATCGTGGATATAGCTTCTGATCCCCAGTTCTCTGCTAAAGGAGAATAGCAGCATTTGAAGCATTTCCTCAGAAAGTTATTCTCAGGGGTGACCCCTAGAAAGATAATACAGGTGGATGAATGTGGAAATGCTTTGCAAACTAAGAATTGCTTTAGAAACATACTAAATTAGAACATGCCCTTAGGTTTAACGGTTTTTTCCCTTTCTAGAACACATGTTTTTTCTTCCACCTCCTCATGGCATTGGCTTTTTGTACACTAGTTATGTGCTGGGTAAGAACAACCCTCACAGATCAAGCCTCGAGTAGCAAACTTCTGTTTTCTTATTTGCACAACTCTTCCCTAGATGTAATGAGCAGAGACTTTGGGGGATGTTGGAATAGGGCAAATGTATTTTGCATGTGGATAGATCTGAATCTTTGGGGAACAGAGGGCAGACTGTGATGAACAGAATGGGGCTCCCCCCTTCCAAGATATCTATACCCTAGTCATTGGAACAGTGAATATGTTAGGTTGGATGGCAAATGTAAGGTTGCCTTAATAAGGAGACTTTAATAGGGAGATTAGCCTGGACTACACAGATGAGCAATGTAACGACAAAGGCCCTTAAATGTGAAGAGGCAGGCAGAAGGGGAAGCAAGAATGATACAATATAAAAAAACTCAACCAGACCATGTTGGCTTTGAAGATGGTGGAAAGGGATCATGAGCCAAGGAGAGTGGGCAGCCTCGAGAAGCTGCAGAAGTTAAGCAAACGGATTCTCCTCTAGAGCCTCCAAAAAGGAATGTACCCCTATTGACACCTTGATGTTAGCCCAGCAAGACCCATTTTGGACACTTACAGAACTGTAGGATAATAAGTTTAGGCTGTTTTGAACCACTAACTTTGTGATAATTTGTTACAGCAGCTACAGAAAACTAATATACCAAGACTACTATCTTTTCTAGAGGCAAAAAAATCTCTCTCTGAATCTTAGGACTTCAGTGTTTCTGTCCCACAGTTGAGTGCAGTTACTTTTGGCACACATGGTTCAGGGCTCAATCAGAATGAGCCATTCACAGAAGGAACCCAATCTCTTGATATCTAGACCCAATAAACAGACATTCCCCTTCAGAAGAAACTTTTAGCCAGTGGTCTTAATGGTTTGCAATAGAATTCCCCAAAAGGAAAACCAGAAGGCAGCATACTGCTGACAGCCACGTGGTTTTCCTGAGCTTGTCTTCCACTTACTAAGATCTGTGCCGCAGAAAACAAAAGGCAAGAATTTGAGTTTGTTGAGCATTCAGACAACACTGGTTGCTGGGCTCACATGCTCAGTCAACGCACGGTCACCTCTTCATATGAATGAATGGCTGTGGTCTCTGATAGGCAGTACGTAAGAGACAGTAAAGGAAAAAACTCATTTCATAGTTATTGGTTTTATTTCACTGGTTCTCTCCGTTCATTCACGATCAACAGAAAAAACTCTAAGTCAATAAGTTAAAAGGCCCAGTGGGATGTTAAGGGGGAGGAGGAAGAAATTAATGTTTAATGAGTGTCCACATGCCAGCACTCCCCAAGGTGCTTTCATATACATGAACTCCTTTAGTTCTCAAAACAAAAACAAAACACTGCAAATAGGTAATATTAGCCTCTTTAATAAATAGGAACATACTTAAGTCTTAAAAAGGTAAGCAATTTTCCCAGATATCACCAAGATTTGATTCATAAAATATTTTTTTTGAATCCAGCCCTGTTCCCCTATTTCCCTTATGAACCACTAAGTAGGGTCCACACAAGGGAAAACTGTCTCACCCAAAATACCAACATCACTCCTATTGAGAAACGATCTAGAAAAAGTGTGGGGAGCACACATGCTCTAGAATCACTATGACAGGAAGTCCTAGGGATAGTTTTGGAAAGAGATCACGAGACTTGCCTGGAGCTGTAGGACTTTTTTTTCTCTTTTTTCAGGGTTCCTAATAATAGATCTTTGGGAGCATTTATGTACAACTGTTTTATACAATATTTTAAAAGCACTGAAATAAGTTGCTTTATATACGTGACATTGTTAACTCAGATTCACTCACTAACTTTTTATTAGGAAACTTTCAAACTTATAGAAAAGTAAAGAGAACAGTATGATGAACACCCCTGTATTCATCAGCTAAGTTTAATAACCGTGTATCTTTTGCCAGATTTCCTTTATATGTTTTTTGCTGAAATATTTAAAATTATATACTTTAGGACATTTCATGCCTAGATATTTTAGAAGGCGTTCTCCAAAAATAAAGGCATTTTCCAACTTAACCACCGATTTAACCATTATATTTTTCCCCTTAAGTCCTTAATATTAATTCATATTCCATCCATAGTCAAATTTCTCTCAGTAGCAACTAAATGTTTTTTAATGTTAGTGTGCTCAAAGTAGGATCCAGGTAAAGCCCACACATTACATTTGGTTGCTGTTCCTTTTATTTATTTTTTTACCTTTTGACCCCCTTCCCCCATTACTCCCACCTCCCACCCCCCCGTACCTCTGGCAACCACACCAAGTTCCTCTGCATCTATGAGCTTGGTTGTTTTGTTTGCTTGTTTGTTAAATTCCACACATTTTTATACATTAAGACAAAGGAAAAAGTCACCTGTCAGTCTAGGCATGCCCCAGCTCCTGGGGGATGGATCCTGGCTGCTCACTCTCTCCCCAGGCCTGTGTGCTTTTCCATAGCTTCACAAACCCTCCAAGCTCCTGCACTGCTCCTTGTTCCATCGATGCCCACTCATTTTGCAGTGCTCACCATAATGGCACCTCCTCATCGACACTCCCCTTTTCCCCCTCCTCCCCACCTGGATTAGGTCTGGCTGATATTCTCACCAAGCTGACCTCTTGCACTTTGTTTCACTGCACATATTTCAATTTCCAAGTGTATCTATTTGTACTCAAAGTGTTTTTCTGACTTAGAGCCTTGCCTATTCCAGTAGATTATAAGACTCTTATTTTGATGAATAAATGAGTTAGAAACAACTAAAATGCCTAATAAGTGAACTGGGAAAGGGACTATTATGGAGCTCTTAAACATAACAGCCTATCAAAAGGAATTCAAAGCATAGGCTACACAAATACTTGTTATGCGGTGAATAAAATTGGAGAAACAGAAGTGTATGTTCTTTACATGATCACAACTGAAAAAAAAAAGTAGGAAAAAGACTAAAATGTAGTGACAAAATGATGAATATTTAAAATTTTTGTCCTCATACTTTTCTGAATGGAAATTTAGGAAAAAACCTATGTTCATACACAAAATGTCCTCACTACTGCTCTGGTTTTGTATAGACTATTTTCTTCATATACAATATCCTCCCCTCTCCTCTGCACTGTTCTTTGTTCTTGTCCATCTCGAACTTAGGATAAACCTCACTTTTACCAAGATGCTGTTTATACTGTTCATCTGTTTGAGTCTACAATGCGCTCAGTACAGACATTATCAGGTGAGTAAGATCCAGGCCCTGCTATGGTCAGATGTTTACACTGCCCGAGAATGCCCCCAGCACTGCGTAGATGTACAACTCATTCTTGCAAGCCGTATCACGAGCTCCCAGAAGGCCAGGACCATATTCCCTCTCTTGGAAGGAAGGCAGCCTTGTCCTGAAGCTGCTCCTGGTCTTAACTGAGTGTTTACCCAGCAGGTACTCTTATAAGAATGCTGAGCCACTGCTGGAGAAACTACAAGTGCAGGAGGGTAGGGAGGGTGCACATCAGCTCACCTCTCACATCCAAGGAGGGCGTTATTCAAATCCTCATTCACTTGAATTAGCTCAACAGTTACATCTTCATTCTCCACCACTATGAGCAGGTCCATGATCCTCTCCTGCATCTCCCGACCTGTCTTATAAAGTTTCTGTCAAAGAAAGGAGAGAAATTTCTTTTTCTGTGCTAGGGAAGTTCTATAAAGAAACTCATGTACCAATGCTGGTTGCTCACTTCCTCCATGAGTCACCTACGGGAGATTACCAAAGTATGTAATTATGTACAACCTGTCCTTTTTATCAGAAGGCAATGAGTTACACATGATTATATTTTCCTCTAAAAACCAAAATAGGTGTCATAAGAACACGATGGTACACTGCACAGAACACCAGACTAGAAATTAGAACTGGTGTATGGGAATTCTAGAGGTACCGCTTACTAGCTGCAGAATATAGAAATCACTTGTTTTCTAAATCTGTTTCCTCATTTGATAAATGAAAGTTATATTAATTGCCACATCTACCTCAAGGGGTGATATAAAAAGCAAATGAGATGTGTATAATGAGGAACTCTAGCACTATAAAGCACTACATAAAACACAAAATGCTTACTGTCGCTATTAGTGATAGTAGAAGAAAGGAGTAGTTAAAATACATTTATAGTGGCATAATTTTCCTAGTACATTTTACTTAAATATTTAAAGTTTACAATTACAACATCACATCCCAACATAAACCGAACCAAAATTAGAAGGAAAAAAAGGTCAGGAATACTATCCTTGTTAGGACTACCTGGAGTCACTGCATTAAGCCAGGACTGCACTCCCCAAATTAGCTTTTCCTCATAAGCATCAGGGGCATCTACAGTCAACACACTGATTCAGAATCCCCAGGGCTGAGGGTCTGGGAATATATACATATACATATTCATATATACATATACACACACACAAATACGTATATATATATATACTATTTTTTAGTAAGCATCCTGAAGTGTTTTTTATGTACATGGACAATTTGAAAACTGCTGTCTTACAACTTATATCCTTATAGGCAAGCTTGAGGAGCATAAAATATTCATATTTCTTCAAACCCACCTCAGCTAGAATTTGTAAACATAATAGTATATTAAGGTCAGGCAAGAACACCTTCAAAATGAGAGCAACAGAACTTGCTAGATCGTTAGACTATTCCACTATCTTACTCATTTTCCCTCAAGAAAGACAGACCTGTTGAAAAACTTATAGTCGGCAAAACCCATTTAGAGTCTCAAACCATCTATTACAAGAGTCCTGACAGGAAATCTCTAAAGAAATCAATCAAAGCATTAATAACTGGCATTTGGACTCAGAGGTAAAAGCCACTACCCTCTACAGAATCCTAACAAAAATATTTGGAAGACAAAAGGAAATGAAAAGGAAAAAAGTGATACAGACAGATAAAGGATAGACTCTGGGTTTTGTAACCGCAATCTGCAGCCAGAAAAACTGTCCTCTTTGCTAATGACATGGCCACTATCAGCAGGGGTTGGCAAACTTTTTCTTAAAGGCCCAGATAGTATTAAATATTTTCTGCTTTCTGGACCATATGTTCTCTGTCAGAGAACAGAACTACCTAACTTTGCCATTATAACATAAAAGAAACCACAGGTGATATGCAAATAAGTGGGTGTGCCCATATCCTAATAAAACAAAGACAGGTGTTAGGCTAAATTTGGCTTTCTATGGCCCCCTGGAATAGTGCAAAGAGAGCAGACTTTAGACTCTGTAGACCAAAGGCCGCCCCCATATGCATACCTGACATGGGATTTAGTTAAATTTTAGATTCAGTTTTGTTTTTTTACACATCTATAAAACAAGGATAACAACTATCTTGCAGGGTTGTTGTAAAAATAGGAAATGGTAAAGTTGAAACCCCAGGGTGACTGGCATACAGTGGGTAGTCAATAAATGTATTAATGATTGCATAAGAAGTATCACTGGAAAGTTAACCAGATAGCTAATACAACCCTGTATTACACCTTTACTCAGGACCCAATGTTCTTCTTCTGAGAGAACAAAGAACAGCACTTAACCCCCATGATGAACGAGAACTTTTCCATTACTGAGTATAATGAAATTGTTCTTGCTCACTGGCAGCCTTGCTAGAGCCAATGTCAAGATCAAGGAAATACAATGGCTGTTAGAGGCCCGTGACAAAAATGTAGAAATTAATTTGAAATGAATTTGCAGTCAACATCAATAGCCCCCGGTCACAAGACCACCCTCTCAAAAGACAGATGGAATAGAAACATGAAAGGAACATCACATTTCTCAGCAGGTTTGCAGAGCAGAATTTGAAAAACCTCTTCAAAAGCCAGCCCACTCTGATCTTTGCAATTGATGTCTGTCTCCGAGGAGGGCCATGCCACCTGGAAAGAGCCTAGATCAAGCACCATGAACCAAGAGGATGGGTCAGAAGTTCCCCCGCAGCAGGCACCTGCAGGGCTGTGGATGTGGGGAGCCAGAGGGGGAGAGAGTCAAAACACAGAGTAACAGCCGCTGGTGCATATGTCCATCACAGAGCCCCTGGAATTGCCCCCCTTAAATACCGTATCAAAGCAAAGGCAGGCTTCTCAGTTCAAGGGAATTTAACAATCAGTTCAAAAGTCTTTAGAGCAAAACAAAAAGAGCTCATTAAGAGCTTCTTCTCCTGACATCCAGATGGCTCCTAGTCCTCCATGGAGGACTCAGGAATTAAGGAAGGAGGTCCTTTTGCACTTTCAACTCCAACTGCAGCAGCCCACATTCAGCAACAGAGTCCAACTCAATAAAAAGAAAAAAATAGAAGTGCCTGAACATCTCCCCTGAAAAAATGAAAATGGGAAGAAATGTGTTTCTTGCAAGCTTTCTCTGGAAATAATACCTGCAAGGCAATACTCTTATTATCAGCCCATAACATATTTCCTCCCTATCTGTCCTCCCTACCCAGACTGCAGGAGCCCCAGAGAACATCTCTATCTGCAAAAAAATAAAAAACTACCCCTCCCACCCTAAAACTGAACAGTTCTCAGCGTCACTTGCTTGTAGTCCTTTTCCTTTACAGAGATGCCAGCTGAATGAATAGCAAATTAATGGTCAAGATCATACTCAAAAAGATCATTAACTCAATAGAGTCCTTCTGATTCTTTTTCCTAACCAAATATTATCAAAATTTTATTTCCCCAAAAGCCTTTGTCTTCAGTAATTCCTTACCTCCTTTATCCTAAAGTCATTAATTCTTCAACAAAGATCATCAATCTATTCAACTCAACAGAAATTTAATGAACTCAGGGCGCCTGGGTGGCTCAGATGGTTAAGAGTCTGCCTTCGGCTCAGTCATGATCTACGGGTCCTGGGATCGAGCCCCACGTCAGGCTCCCGGCTCAGCAGGGAGTCTGCTTCTCCCTCTGCCTCTGCCTTTCCCCCTGCTTGTGCTCTCTGTCAAATGAATAAATAAAATCTTAAAAAAAAAAAAAGAAATTTAATAAACTCATTCAGTGTGCAAAGCATGTGCTATAAACATGCATAGTTGTATGGATTTAGAAGTATACAACTTGGTTACTGCCTTCAAGTTGCTTCCAACCTAGCTAGAGAGCTAGGGAAAAAACAGGTGAGCCATCTATACTAGAAAGTCAATGAGAAGCAAGCTGGTATAATGGATAGAGCACAGGTTCAAGAGAACAAGGTTCTCCCTCCAGCTCCATGACTTGCCACTGTAAAGGAAGGGAGATGGTCTCAGAGATAATGTCCCTTCCACAAGTTTCTGAATGGTAAAGACAATAAATGTCCAGTGGAGGACTTTTTATTTTACTGTGTTCCACCCCCCGTCCCGCAACTGGTAACAAATTATCCTTATAGCATGAAATTTTAGATTGACCTGATTTTAAACTTCTCTACTAAGTTAGACTAAGGCTTTCTCCAGTTGTACGCTTTGTTTTTTTAAAGATTTTATTTATTTGACAGAGAGAAAGAGAGTGAGAGAGGGAACACAAGCAGGGGGAGCTGCAGACAGAGGGAGAGGGACAAGCAGGCTTCCTGCTGAGCAAGGAGCCCGATGTGGGGCTTGATCCCGGGACTCTGGGATCATGACCTGAGCCGAAGGCAGACACCTAACCAACTGAGCCACCCAGGTGCCCCATCTCCAGTTATACTCTGAAACAGAGCTTGCTTTCTTCTACAGAAGACTAAATCATTCTCTCCTTTCATTGCCCTACTGGGGCTAGGCAAAAGAAAGAGAAGACTGAAATGAGAGGTACCAGGGAAGTCAGTTATTCAAGGTAAGAGTAAAGTAGCCCAAAGCCAAGTGTAAAATGCCAAGAAAGCAAAGGCAAGACTCACGCCACAACATTTCATCCCTGTGACCAGAGCAGAACTCTTGACTCATCACAACACTCAAGACTGGATGCTGCTCAGACTCTTTGTACCCTACTCTGGGAAACTAAAAGAAATCCAGTTTCCACCCCCAATGAAGGTCAAAGTCCACGAGCAATATGGAAGCAGGGAAAGGTGTCTACTACACAAAATAGTTTTTCTGCCTAAGAGACTAACAAAGAGCAGGCGCCCTGCTAGTTAGCAGGGCTTCAGGATCTAATTGTTTAGCCTGAGCTGGAAGAACCAATAAGGGAGTTCATATATACCAGATTTCAGATGGAGGGACACAGACAGGGAATGGGCTGCAATTAACAGAACAGCTGGTATCAAGTAAGCACCCGCAGACAAAACAGAAGAGATTCCAAGTACAGAGGCTGGTTTTGACATTAACAAATTGCACCTTAAGACTGTGACCACTGCTAAAGTGTATGTACGAGAAAAGCCAATGAATTTTTTAGAGTTGTCCTATGTGTTGAATGCCGTTTGCGCTCCAGATGCACCATCCACACACTCTGCCCTGTTCTATGCCCCGGGGCCTGGCCTGCAGGGAACACCTCACCAGGTCCTGTGCCCTCTCACTTCCGACTGAGTTCAGCAAGCAGCACGCACTGGCAGGAAATGGGAAGGAAGGAAGGAAAGTGAGATCTGGGTATTTTTCCCTCTACTCCTTCCACCAAAAGCACCTCTACTCTCAAGGCTGCTTTCTCCATTATTCTCTCCTTTGGGTTCTGGCAAAACTTCCCTCTTGCCTACTT